TGCGGGCACATACCCAGTAGGGAGTGTGCAGGAGGCAGCTAATCGATATTTCTCTCTTATTGATGTTTCTAACTCTCTATCCCTCTCCCTTCCTCTCTGTAAAAAAATCAATAAAATAAAAAAATTACAAAAAGACTGAAGCCTTGAAACTAAATGTTAAAAAAAATGTTGATTCATTCTTTAGTAGCAAAACGAGCTACTGTTCATTGAGGACCTGCATGATGCCAGATGCTGAACTTTATATAAAATTATTTTCTTTAATTCGTGTAACTACCTTTTGAGGTAGGTATTTTTGTCTAATTTTACAAATAAAGAAACTAAGGCAGACTGAGATTAATGTAATTTGCCCAAGACTCCCACAGATGGGCTTTAAATTGAGGTTTATTGGATTCTAAAACTCATTCTGTTTCAACACTTTGTGACTTCACTTTAATTTTGTTTTCTTATTTCTTAATTTTAAATTTAGAAATAATTTAACTTATTAAATGTTGCAAAAACAGCAAAGAATTCCAATACACTCTTTACCCAGCTTCACCAAACCATGCATAATTTTTAAAACCATGGAAATAACATTGATACAATGTTAACCAATCTACGGACCGTATGCAGACTTTTGCCATCGTCCACTAATATTGTTTCTCCAGAATAAGGCCCAATCCAGGATCCCACATTGCATTTAGTTTTCCTGTCTTAGTCTCCTCGGACGTGGGAGAGTTCGTTAGTCTTTCAAGCCATGGCGCCTGTGAAGAGTACTGGCCAAGTAATTTTGGAGACTTCGGCTGTATTTTTTTTTTTTTTAAATATATATTTTTATTGATTTTTTTACAGAAAGGAAGAGAGAGGGATAGAGAGTTAGAAACATTGATGAGAGAGGATCATCGATCAGCTGCCTCTTGCACACCCCCCACTGGGGATGTGTCCGCAACCGAGGTACATGCCCTTGACTGGAATTAAACCCGGGACCTTTCAGTCTGCAGGCTGACGCTCTATCCACTGAGCCAAACCGGTTTTGGCTCGGTTGTATCTTTAATGCATTGGGTTTATAAATGCATTTAATGTAGAGTTAAGAGGATTTTCCTTTGTGTCCCAATTATAAACTATTCCATTCTTTATGTCATTCCCAATTACTAGGACATTTTTGAATGGATGAGGGTGATGTGACGGTGGTTGGCCTTTGTGTAGCATGTTAACTTTCTAGCCTGAGAGCCTTTCAGGGTCATCTGGTGGTCTCCCACCCTGGCTTCTCAGATGGCAGCATCGTGGTCTGCATGTCTTAGCTCCTGGCCCTTTGTTCTTTCTACTTCATCATCCTACTGGCCTGAAAGGCCAATGAACAGTCATTCAAAATATCTATTCACTTCACCTGTTAGTTTTTTATCATTGAAATTTTGATTAATCAATGACCCCATTGATATTGGTATAAAATTAACTTTGCTTTTCCTTTAAGGTAGACCATTGCCTGTAGCTTGTAAAGGGGATTTGGCCTAGCCCAGATTGGTTTCTTTGTGTAGCTATACATCAAGTCTCTTTTCAGCAGCCTAGGTAGCAAGGATTTCCTTAGTGCTTAACAGGGATGTTCATATACCAGATTTCTTTTAGTTGTCTTTGCCAAAAGAAAGCTCAGCTGCTTCCTGTGCTCTCTTGGATCATGCCATTTGGAAGTTGGTAAACAATGACTGCTTTTGAGGTCATTGACTTTTTTGGGAGGAGGAGTGGGGTGAGGAGTATATTGATTTTTATTTGCTTTTAGCAAAGTTGATATTTTACTAACTCCTTACTGTCTTAAGGGTAGGCTTTATGAAATATATATATATATATATATATATATATATATATATATATATATATATATATATATATTTCAATATGCAAATATTGCAAATTAGCCAGGATGCCGTAACAGTCACGTCTGGCTCAGGAGGAGGCTGTGTGCACAGATGGGCCCAGAGTGGAGATGCCACACACGGGGGGCCCACCCGCAGCACGGCAGCCACTGGGGCTGGGGACAGGCCCGGAGGGGAGACATAACACATGGGGTGGGGGGCTGTCCTCACTGGGAGACAGCATGCCAATAGTCCCGCCTCTGCACGTGAGCTGCAGAGGAATCACCTTTTCTCTTCGCTCATTGGCTAAGCTCCCCACTCACAGTGTTCTTGCTAACTTGGGTAAATAAGAATTCCAGAAGGTAATCTAGGGCTTTTCCACCACAAGATGATGTCAGATCATTTCAAGTAATGCCAGGCAGGGGGAGCCTCAGCACAGTAAATCCTTTTAAACACGCTCAAACACTTGCCTTTTATGTCATGGAATTTAGCTATTGTAAACAAACCTCTGGTGCCTTTTCCCCATTCTTGTCTGGAAACGTAAGGCCCCTGACTATGCAACTCCAAAAGTAGTTTCTGCCTAGGAAAATGACTCGAATCGTACAGGTGATTTTACTGGAATGAATAGTTCAGGATCTCTTGTGTTTGGTTAATAAAATGTCCATTTTACTTTTGTTATTCACAAGCATTTTCTAATGGGTGACCCCTTATTTATTTTACAGTGGCCTATTTCCACAATTTTTATTCCCCTCTCATTTCTTAGTCTGATTTATTTTCTTAATATGTGTGTGTGTGTGTGTGTGTGTGTGTGTGTGTGTGTGTGTGTGTGATTTGTCCCCCCAAGTAACATGTGAACTCTCTAAGTGGCTACAATTTTGTTCATTTTATTACTATATTCTCAGTGTCTGGAACAATGTCTGGCATGGTAGTTACTCAAAAAACTGTTGAATGAAGAATAAATAGAGTTTTCACTATTATTTAAACTGATACCTTTTGACTTAGTAAACAAATATAAGAATTATGTAAAAGTGTTACGCTTCTGAGTTTATTATTCTCTTTAGGAATTTCCCTGATAACTAAGGGAAGTAATAAGGACTGAAAACTTTGATCACTGCTCTTCTCTAGTGATTACATGTGTAATCTCTTTCATAATTTAGTTTAGTAACCTTCCTACTATTTACCCTGTATGTACAATATTCGGTCAGGATGTGCTGATGATAAACTATGAACAAACTAGTACTGTAGTAAAGGAAGTACTCTCATTGTACATTAGTGTGAAAGTTCTAGTACACACACACACACACACACACACACAATTCAGGGCATCCGTGTATCTTAAATACTGCCTTTGCTTCACGGGTGCTGTGTAGGTGAGGTGAGGCCCCTGACTAAGGAACAGAGCAGCTAAACCCAACCATTTGTAGTGGACATTATCTTCAGGAAATACAGAAGGCTGAACTTTAAAAAAGCAGTCATCATAATTTTGAGCATTTTCTTCCCAGAGCAAAAACAGATGAATGAATGATTGAATAACTGTTTAAAAAGCCGTGTTTCTGATTAGTTATCAGGATTGTAGTTGCCAGGATGGAAGTGTGAATGACAGCTTTTGGCACGGGGCATGACGAGGCGTGAGGCTGCTGAGGACTTCTCCCAGATTGGTTCCCAAACAAGAAGGAAGGTCTATTTTTCAGATTGATCCCTGAGGTCAGTGAGATTTATCTGCCAAATCAATCCTTCATTCAGCAAATATTTATCGAGTGCCCACTGGCGCCACACACTGTGGAAGTGTTACAGGAGTGGCCGGGACAGACTGTGTTCCCACTCTCTCAGGCTCTGTTCCAATCCAGTGTCCTTTGGGGCCACAGGTATCTTAAAGAATGTGTGAAGGTGAAGGCCCTTTTTGATATAAAGCCAAAGTCAGTCAATCAATCAGCCTCTTACGCACGCACTCACACACCCAGCTGTCCGTGCATGGTGGGGGAGACCCACACTCACTGGGTTTTGCCTCTTTTATTTCCTGAGGTTCAGAAGACTTAGAGTTCAAGTTTGCCAGGTGTAAAGTGGAGGACCCTCTTTTTTTGCCCCCCAGCCTCTTTAGCACCTATGATATCTTTGATAAGACTTCTGTACTTTTCTTTTCCGATTTGATCACACACGATAGAGCAGTAAATCTCTGGGAAGAGAGTCCAAGGGATGCTCAGCAGGCCTGAGTCAGCAGCCTACCTGTCCCATGGCTTTGAGGAAGTCACTGCTGCTCCCTAAGTCTCTCTTTTTGCATCTGAGCAACGGAAAGGGTTGGGTTTGAGTAGCTGATTTAGGTGGACATGGAAGGCAACAGAGCATCGGTGGGTACATTACAGTCTTGGTGCTCATTAGCTGGCTGATTTTGAGAAAATTATTTACTTTATCCAAGTCTTAATTCTCACTTGTGAGAGGGGGAAAAACAGCATGTATGCCATGGGTTAGGTGTGAGAATGAAACTGAAAATATATACACTGCCCAGGACAAAAGTGGTAGCTGCTAGCAGCCTTATTATATCCAAATTGTCCTTCAGGGGAATGTAGTCAATCAATAAACTTTATTGAGGACCTGGCATAGACTACTCCTAGGATTATATTCCTGTGATGCTAACCCAGCTGCCAGGCAATGGTATAGGACAGCAGTGAAGGAATTCACTGTGTGTCAGGCCTGGTTGAATTTCCTGGCTCCCCACACTCTAGCTGGTGACCCTAAGCTCTTTGATATTTATTCAGTTTCCATTTCTGAAAAGTGGGGTAATGATATCCCAGAACCAAGTCACAACGAAGAGGCCGCTAAGGGATTGAAACAAGACCGTGGGGGTAAAGCCTTTAGCACAGCGGCAGGCACAAAGAACTCTCTTCATTAAATAAGGCTGGTTCAGTATTGCTAGTATTAGTTATTGATTAGCTTCACCTAACCTCCCCCTCCACATCCGGGGCTAGGTTGGGTCTAAGAAAGCTTTCTCCTAGAGTTCACTCAGGCCCAGCTGTGTTTAGCCCCTCACTTACCCGGGCTGAAGTGGTAAAATGAAGGCCCTTGATTGAAAGCGAGCCTTAGCTAATGCTTAACTGTTCCCGCGCATAACTGTGGTTACTACGGAATAATTCACGTTGGTGAAAGATGGATGCTAATTCTCCTCTATGTGCTTTCTTTTAGTATCCCAACCCCATGGACAAAAATGTCATCTCGGTAAACACCGTGGAGGAAAAAAGAGGTAAGTTCTCCGAATTTACCTCACTTCAGTGATGAGCATTAAGTGATCCTCATTCTTGTAAAGATGTGTGTCTGTGGTGTATGTGTAGCCTGTTATGTTTTAAACAGGTGTAGTTCTATATTTGAAGTTACTGAGAGAAGAGAACACTGAGTACTTATAGCAAGAGAAGGCTTGCCTACTATGCTCTTGCCACTTTCTCAGTTAATAATTCATTGACGACAATAATAACAGCTAACATTTTTGGGCACTTAATATGTGCCAGCCACATTTTCTTTTATTTAATCTTCAAAACAATGTATGGGGTAGGTATTATGGTTACTTCTATTTAAGGAATGAAGCAACCAAGGTAGAGAGAGAAAAAAACTTGTCCAAGTTTGCATGATTATAACATCTAACATATTCATATATCATTTTAGAGATGGCATATGGTTAATAGCATGTGGTGAGATGTGACTGTAAAGTGATTCGATTATGGGGCCATAATTGTACTTACTATGTTTCAGTATTGACCAGAGCAAGGGATGATAAATTATGCTTGTGTGGCCTGTGTTGTCAATAAAGTTTTATTGGTACTCAGCCATGCCTGTTTGTTTAGATCTTATCTATGGCTGCTTCCTGGTGACAACTCCAGAGTTGAATTTTTGCAATAGAGACTATAAGGTTCACAAAACCTAAACTATTTACCACCTAGCCCTTTACATAAAATGTTTACTGACCCTGGACTAGAGTGTAAGAGTCTTTTCTCTGTCCCTCATATCTCCCGTGGAAGCATTTTCTCTCTCGGTATTTGAACTTGAGACCTGGGCACTGCAGGGAACTATAATGATGGGCACAATCCATGTGTTAACCTTTGGAGACACCCAGTGCCCGGTCTGACATGTTTTGGAGCCTTCAGAGTAAACGTATGAGATGCTACTTTTCATTACATGACATTGAGGCCTCTGTGCTCGGTGAACAGAAAACTGTCTTTTGCTTGTGACGTTATTTTCTGCGCTTCCACAACTCTTATAAATATATTTAAAAAACCCACACACACTTTCTCAGGTACCTGCACTCAGTGTGGGAGGAACTTGTTATTTGGCAAGTCCTGATTTTGTTACTATAACCTAACTTCCTGGAGGCTCAGTCTCTTCATCCGTTCAAGGAGAAAATAATAAACCTGCCTTTAGGTTGTTGTGAAGATCAAATGAGAGAACAATGTGCATATTCCAGAGTGGAATAGGGACATTAATTATAATTTCCGAGTTTTATCTTTTTCTCTAACTTTTTCTGAACTCACATTTGTTCAGTGGTTTCTTTTTTGTTTTGTTTGTTTGTTTTACATTACTGTTGTTATTCTGGAAACTTCCTTCCAAATAGTAGTTCCAGTCTTGGGGAGTCTGCTCCCCTATGAGAAAGGTATGCCTGGTATAATTAATTGTAAGCTTAAATTTTGTAGCCAGAAATCTGGGTTTGAAAACATGTTTGGTGCAGAAGATGGTAGAATCAGATTCTTCATTTATTTTTTTGTTTTTTGTTTTTGTTTTGTTAAAACATTCTCTTTGTTGGAGTTGAGCAGGAGGCTCACTGGCCATTGTCATTGGAGTGTTGACATTGGTAATTCACAGCAGTGAACAATTTGTGACTTTTTAACTTTAGAATGTGCACTTGTGCCGAAACCGGTTTGGCTCAGTGGATAGATAGAGCGTCAGCCTGCGGACTGAAAGGTCCTGGGTTCGATTCCGGTCAAGGGCATATACCTTGGTTGTGGGCACATCCCCAGTAGGGGGTGTGCAAGAGGCAGCTGATCGATGATTCTCTCTCATCGATGTTTCTAACTCTCTATTCCTCTCTCTTCCTCTCTGTAAAAAAAAAAAAATCAATTAAATAAATAAATAAATTATTAGAATGTGCACTTGTGAGTAGCTGTTTACACATGTTCCTTGGTCATAGATAAGTCTATTTGGAATGATTTGGCCCAGAAAAGTGGTCAGAGATCCTAAGTTTTGAGTTAAATGTGGTTTTTTAAGGAATTCTACAGATAGGAAATGGAGATCGACATTTAAAGTTTTATTGACTGTAGACAAGCATACATTTCCGTAAATACCCTTTTGAGTGTAAAATTTTTCTATTTCTAGATGTGTCAACAGGGATCATCTATAGAAAGAGGATTGCAATCTGTCGGAATGTGATTCCAGAAATTTTAAGGAAGGTAAATTCATTTCAAAATGTTAGCAGCTTTGGTGTAACATTGGGGAATTTTCTAGCCATGAAAAGAGCATTTTCTGATGGAAAGCAGAACTTTCTCCTGCCTCATAGCCCTTCAGAGAAAAAAATATCTGTTATTATCCAGCCTCAGGTTTTACCTCCTTCTTTTCATGACCCCCTGAAGGCCTGCTGCCTGGAGTGCCCTAGAAACCAGCCTGAGGTCAGGCATGAGAAGTAATGCTTTTTTTTAAATTTTTATTTTTTTAAAGATTTCTTATTGGCTTCATAGAGAAAGGAACGGAGAGGGAGGGAGAGAGAAACATCAACCTGAGAGCAAAACATCGATTGGCTGCCTGCTGCACGCTCCCTACAGGAGATGGAGACTGAAGCGTGGGCATGTGCCCCAACCTGGAATCTAACCGGCCACCTTTCAGTGCAAGGGATGGCACCCAACCAACCCAGGCACACCAGCCAGGCCAACCTCAGTTCTGGCAGATGCCACTGGAGATAGTTGTTTTCCTGTCTGGCTCTGTGTCTCTCTCTTTTGTGGATGACTCTTAGTGGACATAGAGCTGGTCTGCACTTATTTTAAAGACACCATGGACATTTGACATCAAGTGACCATCTTTCCTGATCTGTCCCTGGTTAGATGTGACTCTTAAGTAAGAATGGTCAGAGGTGAGCAGACGGTAGATGTTTTACCAGATCTTTAGAAGGGGAGGTAAAAGCTTCCATTTCTGTTTCACTCTCAGAAGTGAAGACCCTTATTTCAGGGAGTGGAATGCTCTCGGTGCTCTCCGTAAGCCTTTTTCTGTATGTTTCTGTAAAGTGATGGTGTTGGTGATGAAATCTTCATGATAGCAAATTGTTTTCTTCCTTCAGCACACTGGTGATTTTTAGGAAAAAAGGTAAGTGGAGATTTTAAATCACATTGCTCCAACTGTAGAGAAATTAGTGACAAGAGCCTTTTTGGCATCATTAGGAAATACGAGGAGAGCATCCTGATTCACAGTTAAAAGATTTCTCAGACGTTTGTTTCAGCCTGGGAGCGATTCTGTGTGTGACGTGGAGCCCCGCTGGGCTCCTACCCACGAGCTTGGAAATGACATTGCTGCGCCATCTGTAGGAAAAATGGTGGCTTCTATCACTTCTGTCACATTCTTCAGTGGGAAGAAAGGTGATAACACAGTGGAAACGAGCTTTCTTTTATTTTCCAGGGGGTAAAATGTGTTGCAATTTGTGCAGCAAAAATTCTTACTGGCTTTTTCCGCCAAGTGCATGCCCTGCCTGCCTTTGACCTATATACATACTTTGAATCTATTATTTAAAAAGGCATTCAACTTTGTGTTGTATCTCAATTCTTAAATAATTCAAGGACACCTCTGACTTGTACAGTTCTGTCTTTGCAGTCTTCCATGTCTCCTCACCTAGGAAAGAATACATTTCTAGGTGTAGTCAGAGTTTAAAATGAAGAAAATATTTTACCTGATATTGTCCTGCACATGAGCCCATAGTTGGCCCAGTTAGAATCTGTTGATTTAAGGCCATAACCAGCCCTAGAGGCTATGCGAAGAAGGCTGATAATTTGCTTAGTGCTTAGCCATTAGGGAAATCAGGCCAAGGACTGAATGGCCTGCATAAATCCCGGGCCATTTGCACGTCCTCACCAGCACTTAGTAAGGTCATAGAATGTTTGATTATCAAGGACTTACAGCCACATATTAGGATCATTTCTCCTCTTAATTGTCCAAGACTGAAAGCACTTCTGGGTGCAGTCTTTATGTAGCCTGCTCTCCCAAAATTGAGAAAGCTGTCCCCCCTCTGTTGGACAGGTGAGCATTTTAAAGATACCTGATATCCAGTTAGAAGAGGAATCCTGGCTCAATCCCCAGAAAAGAAGCATGGCTATCCAGAGTCACTGCCTTACATGGACACAGTATGCATCCATGAAGGAAGAGTCTGTCTTCCAGGAAAGCATGGAAAACCCAAATTGGTAAGATCACCTCTGTGTGTGTGTTGTGTGTGTGTTGTGTGTGTGTGTGTGTGTGTGTGTGTGTGTGTATGTGTAGGTTGGGTGCAGGGATGCACAGATGAGCACATGTATTAAAAAGCTATAATGTGTACTTGCAATCTATATAATCTTATTAACTAGTGTTACTCCAATACATTTAGTAAAAAGCACCTATGATTTCATACTTATAACCTCTGTTTACTTCTCACATAAATGACACATTATTGATTTGTAAGCACACAGGTAATTAATGAGTAGATTTCCTTGTGGAGGGAAAACGATAGAGCTCACCTCCTTTCTGGCCACCCTGTTCAATCCTGCTGTCTTTTACCTTCTCCAAAGGCAATGAGTGTCATCACTGAGCTGAGTATTTTTCTGGACTTTAAAAAATAATATATATATATATATATTATTGGCTTTTTACAGAGAGGAAGGAAGAGGGATAGAGAGTTAGAAACATCGATGAGAGAGAAATATTGATCAACTGCCTCCTGCACCCCCCTTCCCCCCACTGGGGTTGTGCCCGCAACCAAGGTACATGCCCTTGACTAGAATAGAACCTGGGACCCTTGAGTCCGCAGGCCGATGCTCTATACACTGAGCCAAACCAGTCCGGCATTTTTCTAGACTTTTAAGAGATACCTCTAGGTACTCACCTGTGTACTCACAAAGCCTGCATAGTATAGTTTCATATATCTGTTTTTACATACATGCTTTCATTCTGTGTGACACATTATGCCCTTATCTTTTTTGCATAATAGAATGTTTCTAAACTTTATCCAAAGAAATATATATATTTCTTTGAGCTGTTGCATCATCTTCCACCTTATGATTGCACTATATTCTATTTTGCTTTTTCCTTTTTGACAGATGTTCTGGTGGTTTCCATTTTTTTTTAAAATTATAAACAGTACTGCAATATTGATAAAGCTTATAATCCTCATAAATGCCATGTGAATGTTTCTCTAAAGGAGAAATTTTAATTCTCAGGTTTATTGAGATATTGTTTACATATAATAAAATTTATTCTTATTCTAGCTGGTTTGGCTCAGTGGTTAGAGTGTTGACCTCTGGACTGAAGGGTCATGAGGTTTGATTCCCAGTCAAGGGCAAGCACCTCGGTTGCAGTTTGCTCCCTGGCCCCGGTTGGGGCATGTGTGGGAGGCAATCAATTGATGTTTCATCTCTCTCTCTCTCTCTCCCTCCCTCCCTCCCTCCCTCCCTCCCTCCCTCCCTCCCTCCCTCCCTCCCTCCCCCTCTCTCTCTTTCTTCCCACTTCTCCCTCTCTTCCACTCTGTCTGAAAATCATTGAAAGGGATATCTTGAAACAAAAGACTGCATGGGAGGGGAGGGGCATCGGGAAAAAATAATTGGAGTATACTAGCAAGGAGGAGGTACTACACACCCTTTCCCTCTTCACCTTGGTGCCCATTGTCTTGGTCATGCTTTGGAAGTAATAGAAACCTACTGATGCAAATGAATTCAGGGATCTCTCTGTCCACGAGCGGGCCTTCCATGGAATAGGAACTAAGGCAGCCTCAGAGTCTTTTGTCTTGTATACCTGGCTCAGCTGGCTAACAGTCTCAGTCTGCTTTATTCACCCAGCCCACCTGGCTCCTCTAGACTTCTCATCCGATGCCACAGTAACTGGCTAGATCTTGGGTAGAATCCCACCTCTGAACTATGATATATGCCTTTGCACAATTTACCCCACATCTCTAAGCCTCAGTTTCCTCATTAGTATGAAGGGGATTGCCGTGACAGTCAAATGAGAGTAGTTGATAAATGTTAATGTCTAGTATTACTACCTTTATTGTTGCTATTATCAGAATCTTAAAAATCCACATGACTCCCATCTTTAGCATGCATTATGTTACTGAAGAAACAGCGTTTATAATTGTTCCCATTAGGCTGCAGGAAGGTGTTCCGTGTTGTGACTTTGAGTTCCTTCAGCACACCCTCTCGGGGATAAGAGTTCCTCAATCTGAGAGGCATGGGAGGGAGGAATCCTTCCATGTTAGGTCCAGTGTGAGACTTGAGCACTGGAGGGAAAGCATCCAGAGTTAATGCAAGCGTTTGGCAGGGACCAAATCCCCTGTGTTCTGGTTTTCTTCCTGGTCCGTGCTATGACTGTGGCTGCCATAGACCCAGGGGCATCACGCTTGGAGCTCCGAGGAGCTGCCTGTTTTCAGAGTCAGAGATGTTGGGCCAATGCATGGCTTTCCCTTCGACACTCGTCCCAAATTGGGGAGAAGAAAGAAAAAAAATAAAAAATTGACATCCAGCTCTTGTAGGAATGCGCTCTATTTAATTAGTGGGACAGGACAGAGGCTTTGCCTTTGCTAGTGGAGAATGGAGTACATTGCTTTAATTTCTCAGAAAGCGAAGTCATGGTTTCTGCCCTCTGAAACCCTACATTCTGAGATAAGCTTATTCATTTCTTATGATTTTGGGTTTGCTTCCCTTCTTTAAAAGATATCTGTTAGTTTCTTATTCTTTTGTTAGTTTTTATTGGACTATGTGGGAATATAATGGGTATGCATTTGATCTGTCTTTAGTAATGGACTTTTTACCTTATCCAAGTAATGCAATTCTAAAAGATAATCATCTTATAAAAGCATTTTCTTGGGCGTTGCTCTTTCACCATAGCTGTTTGGGTTTTTGCGATAAGCAGTAAGGTTTTTCTTATCTAGAAGCAAGATTTAAACTTTCTCATCAGTGGAGACTCCTATGTTTATGATGCTGGGGAGCTGGGGGGTTTACTTTTGAGTAGCGGACCATTCTTCCATACTCAGCATTGAGCATTTTAATGCCAATGTCTTTACCTTCCCATGTCTTAAGAGTTTCTGCTTATCCATTGATGCTTACAGATGCAATTTCTGAGATTTCAAAGTGCTCAGCCTAGTAGAATATGTATTAATCACATCTGATATGTTGAATCAATTTTTATTTTTAAAAATATATATATTTTATTGATTTTTTTTTACAGAGAGGAAGGGACAGGGATAGAGAGTTAGAAACATCGATGAGCGAAACATCTATCAGCTGCCTCCTGCACACCCCCTACTGTGTGCCAGTAACCAAGGTACATGCCCTTGACTGGAATCAAACCTGGGACCTTTCAGTCCACAGGCCGACACTCTATCCACTGAGCCAAACCGGTTTTGGCATTGATTCAATTTTTATAAAATATCAAAGACATTTATCCTGAAATACAGTGAAAGAAACAAGCCAAAGTCCAACTTTGCACACAGATTAAATGAATGGGATGAGCAACTGTTCTTAGATCAACGAATTTCCCTTATAATTGAAGTTACTCCTATGAATAGTCTTCATTCTAACAAATAAGGTAGGTAACATTTAGAAATTTTTGTGTTTCAACTCCTGGATTAAAATATCCCAAGTTTCGAATTTTTATCAGGTGAATCACAGATAAAAAAATGTGCATGTTTCAAGGGGGTAATATTAGGGCATTTTTCTTTGTTTATCTATTTTTTTCTTACTCTGAAATCTTTTATTTGTTTTTGTTAAGTTGGACATTTTGTTAAGTTTCATGTGTTTAGCACAGGCCTTTTTAGTTGACTGCCAAACCTGCTTTCACTGTGATATGAAAATACTCTGGCTCTGTTAACTTCACTTGGTATTATTTCTAATCTCTAATCCTGATAATAAAGAGCACAAGGGTATAATTATCTAGTAGCCTGAATAAATATCACTGTATTTGTCCCAAAACACGACTCCCTGTGCTCACGTTGACCTGGATTTCGGGGCCTTCTCCGTGTAAATATGACATCTGGGCAGGAGCCTTCTTTTTGGCCCAGTAAGACTGTTCTCCAAAAGATACTCGCTTGCTTTTTATGTCTGTGCTCACATAACAGGTCTCTGTTTTCCCATTCTGCTGTACCTGTACCTTCAGTGTGTACCTAGCATGGTACTCGGCTCATAGAGGAGACTCTGTGGCCATTTATTGAATGAATGATGAATGACCACCTGCTCTAGGAGTTACAGATAGTGCTCTTCATGGGCTGAAGTGGGCACGAAGGGAGGGACCTGAAAAGGGATGAAACCAGCAGGAGGGGCAAGTGCAATTGGGAAAGTCCAATAGGATTTGGTAGGAGATTCGATGTAGAGGGAATCTGGAACCATTCATACGGAGACCTATTAATGATGTAGCTGCTTAGATGCTGCCATGGCGTTTGGCTCTGGGCTAAAGGGTAAAGCTGGCCGAGCTCCCTCACAGAGTGAGGTTTAATAAGATAATAAATGGAGATGTTCCTCGCTTGGAGGGTATAAGGCACTAGATAAATGCAAGTTGTTGTTGGAACTAATGGTGAATATAAATGCTGTGTTCAAAATGGGGTGATTCCTTAAAGTACTAACTTTGAAAAATGGAGTAAGCTGCTTTATTGCAAAGGATGGTGATGATTGAACTGGAAACAATGATGTTCAGCCAAGAGAGCATTCTGTGCCATTTCCAAGTAAGAGCTTTGGAAATATTTTAGCGAATGCCTCTGGATTTATTTTTCATCCTCCTACCCTTTAGTGTAGGTTTTTTTTTTTTTTGAGTTGTGTGTTAATTTAGGCCTCAGGGGGGAGGGAAAGCCTGGAGATAATTCTAGTCCTGGGGACTTGGGCTGGCTCCTGGAAATCACTGTCTTTAAAAAGTCCTCCAGCCTTAGCTGGTTTGGCTTAGTAGATAGAGCTTCGGCCTTAGGGTCCCAGGTTCAATTCCAGTCAAGGGCACATGCCCAGGTTGCAGGCTCAATTCCCAGAAGGGGCTGTGAAGGAGGCAGCCAATCAAGTTTTCTCTCATCATTGATGTTTCTATCTCTCTCTCCCTCTCCCTCTCTGAAATCAATAATATAATATAGATCCTTGAATGAGGATAAAACAAACAAACAAAAAGTCTTCCAGGTAAATCCGATGAGCAGCTCAGTTTGAAAGCCCCTGATCACCTGTCTGCACTCTGTGGGCTCAGGGATGAGCAAGCATCTAGCTGGCAGGGTCGACTAAGACCATCGGAAAACACAGATATTTACATTATGATTCTTAACAGTAGCAAAATTACAGTTATGAAGTAGCAACGAAAGTAATTTTATGGTTGGGGGTCACCACAACATGAGGAACAGTATTAAAGGGTCGAGGCATTAGAAAGGTTGAGAACCACTGCCTAGAGACTCTTGTGCACATAATGTACCTGGATGCGTTATGCATATTTTCACTATAGCACCATTGATAATAGCTCCAAACTGGGTCCATTCTAAATGTCCATCTTCAGTGGAGTGGGTATATAATTTGAAGAACTTTCAAACAGTAGAACACTATGAAGCAATGAAAATGAATAAACAATAGCTACATGCAACAATATGGATGAGTCTTAGCTGAGGTCATGGGCTTTATTCTCTGCCTAAGTAAACAGCCAATGATGACATCAGTGTGCGTGTGTAGGACACTGACTCTGGGCAGTGTGGGTGGTAGAGTCCCTGCTGGAGACAGGGACACATTGGGAGGCAGTGTGGTGGTCGTGAGGAGAGAAAGCCATCAGGTACCGTAATTAAGGAGATTTTAAGTGAAGGATAAGTCAGAAGTTAGCATACTCCTGGGTTGAAAATGGTTCTTGGTAGCACAGAGCCTTTAAGGAATAATTTTTATTTATATAAAAATGATCATCAGGGCTTCATCCTATATAATATAAGTATAATATGCAAATTGACCCTAACAGCGGAACAATCAGAACGACTGCTGAACCAGTCACTATGAGGCGCACTGACCACCTCTTGGTCCCTTTCCCCTGCCTGCAGGCTCTGATCTCCTGAAGGCGAACGGGGAACCTGGGGTGGATGGCGGGGGACGTTGGCAGCACCATGTTAAGCCCCTGCCCTGCCAGTCACCTTCCCACACAGAGGGTGACCTGTGGTGGGGATGGGGGTGGAGAGTGGGTGGGAACAGCCGACCTCTCAGTCCCTTCCCCTGGCCATCAGGCACTGATCACCCGATGGTGAAAGGGGAACCGGGGGTGGGTGGTGGCGGGGGTGGGTCTGGTGGCGGGCAGCCAGGGAAGTTGGCCCTGATTGCAGGCCATGCCTAGGGACCATACCCGTGCATGAATTTCATGCACTGGGCCTCTAATTATTTATATTTTGGCCTCTAGTTATTTAAATTATTTATTATTTACATTGGCAAGTAATACATATTTATTATAGAAAATTAGTAAAAAGAGCAAAGTAAATAAATACAACCTATAATTCACCTATAGATTTTCTTGTCAATATTTTAGCTGTCCATTTGTTGAAACTCAGCCATTGGCATTCACAAGGGAGAGAATGACATTGACTGTTGAGAGATGTTAGAAAGAAAACAAACACAACCTGTCAACTGATTGAATGGATTGATTGGAAAGAAAACCATATAACATGCTGCTGAGACTTCTAAGGGCATAGAGTAGGAGGATGCTTATGCCATTAACTGAGGTAAGAGCAGGACTGGAGTTTTGAGATTTCGGTAGAAAATGAATCTTCCTGACATCAGGTCAATATGACCTTGGGCACGTTCTTTAGCTTCTTTTTATCATAGTTTTCTCAGTAAGAGATAGAGCAAATTTAAGAGGAACAACCTCAGAAGATTATATAACATCTGATAGAAAATATACATTGTTACTATGCAGTTTTTTGAAGAGTAGGTGTGACCCACGTATATTACATCATAAAGGAGATGCAGTCCTTCCTTTAGGCTTAACAGATAAAAGACAGGTATAAGAAAACTTGAATCTCCTATGTCTCTTGAGGGAAACAGAACAGGTCAAGCTTAGGCATGGGAGAAAGCCTTAGGGCCAAAGGCACAAAGAACTAAGGTTACATAGGGCCGGAAAAGGGAAGCCATCAGGTGATTAAGGAAACTTTAAGTGAAGGAGAAGCCAGAAGTTAGCATACTCCTGTGTTGAAAATGGTTCTTGGTAGCACAGAGCCTTTAAAGAATAATTTTGACTTATATCAAAGTGGTCATCAGGGTCTTATTATCAATATTTTTGGTGATTGTCAAGTAATACATATTTATTATAGAAAATTAGTAAAAAGAACAAAGTAAATAAGTAACATATATAATTCACCCATAAATTTTCTTGTTAATATTTTAGCTGTCTGTTTGTTTGTGCATTCATCCATCTATTCATCCATCCTTCTCCTCCTCCTTCTCCTCCTCCTCCTCCTCCTCTTTCTTCTTTTCCACTTCCTCCTCTTCCACCACCTCCTCCTCCTTCCTCAAAAAGGGCTGAAATTAAACTGTATATTGTTGCACAAGAACTTACATGGAGGCTTCTCTAACATGAGGGATTTAGGTTAGCTCTGTGTAGTAAGAAGCAAATATCTGATGTGCTTTGTCAGTGACTTATTTAGGGAAACTGCAGCATTTTCCTCACTGGCAATCTTGAAATATAATGGAATAAACTCTTATCTTGTTGATGGCAAGGGCAGGACCCCGCTTCACTGTCCTGTTATTATCCCATTTGTGGGAAAACTCTGAGCATGCTTTTCTGAGCACGCACTTCTCCCAAAATGGGTGAAAAGAAGTATCACTTAGAATGTGATGTAAGAGAGACTTTTATTAATCCCTCACCTATAATTGCTTTGAGGACTGAAGAGTGCACCTATCCCAAGACAGTAAGACTGCACAACGTTTTATTTTTAAATATTAAAATCACTGTTAAATTCTACTCTGACTAATCAGGAATAAAGACAGGAAAGATTAGTGTCACATGAGCAAATCATTTTAAATAGGCTTAAATCTAAGAGGTGGAAGCTGCTTTGCCTAGATTATAACTATTTGCCTAGACCATTTATATTGGCTTGGCTAGGATAACTGTGTGTGTGTGTGTGTGTGTGTGTGTGTGTGTGTGTGTGAGAGAGAGAGAGAGAGAGAGAGAGAGAGAGAGAGAGAGAGAGAGAGAGAGAGGAGACAGTGTTCTGAAGGCTTTGTTTTTCTGTATGATCTAAATGTAGTCTACTGATAAAAAAAAGGATTGGGGAGAAGGTCTAATTAATGGTTAGATAACTATCGGGATTGGAGAAAAAGTCAAATTAATTAAGTTAGTAATTATTGTTACTAAAATCACAGCTTTTTGGATTCATAGTTTTCTCTGAACATTTTTCTTAGTGTCAGTAAATGTGCTTATATATGCAGACACACACACACACACACACACACACACACACACAGAGGACATGGTTTCTATCTCCTTTCCATAAAAATCTAAGTAGGGAAATTATTTCCTTTGTAGACTCTTTTTGATTATAAAAAATTTAAATTAATTCATTCAGCCTGGGCATGAAGAGAGTAGTTCAGCTTCTGAAAGGTCTGACCATCACTCATTCAGAAATTATTGTGTTTTTTTCTGCTGTATTGCAAAATATGCATTTGTAAAAAAGCCTCATGTTCCACAAAATTACATTCTTAAAATATCCTATTGAGATGTAGTTGACATATAACATTGTGTAAATTTAAGATGTACAATGTAATTATTTGATATATGTGCATAATGCAAAATGTTACCTTTTGTTTTGGTGATGGTGAGAAATTTTAAAATCTACTCTCCTAGCAACTTGAAACAAGTATTCTCTAGTTTGAATAAGACTGTGGCTTCTGTTATATAATCTGTAAGTCTTTAATGAAATATTTTATTGTAACAGGCAATTATTGAGTTGCTGTGGATATAATTTTGTGATGATTATAAGTGGTAATTAGGCTTTGGAAATACCTGTGGATTAAATATCTGAATGTAGAATAACATAAAAAAAATACTTCTATTTTTTGCAGGACAGAGTTCATTCAAAGAGGCAGGATTTCAATCACAGGGGCTGGCTTTCTCAACTGCATTTTGGAAACTTTTGCCAGCACATTCTTAAGACAGGGAGCCCAAAAGGTAAGCTTGTTTACATTTGGAACCAACATTAATAATTCTAAGAAACCATGGATATTCCCATTGGACTCTTGAATAAAGCTCCTATACATACATAAGAAGAAAAAAAATACAGTTCATAAACAACTATATGCCAAAATAATCACTCTCACTAATCTTATATAATAGAAGCCTAATATGCTAAGTGTCCAACCATTTGACCATTCGACCAGTCGCTATGACATGCACTGACCACCAGGGGCAGACGCTCTGACCCGTAAGTTAGCTTGCTGCTGGGGTCCGGCTGATTAGGACTGGGGAAGATTGGCTTTATTTCCTTTGTAGACTCTTTTTGATTATAAAAAATTTAAATTAATTCATTCAGCCTTGGAGCCCTCCTGCGGTCTCTCCTGGCCCTGATCATGCACTGGTGGGGTCCCTTGGCCTGCCCTGCCCCCTCTCACAATCTGGGGATCCCTTAGGGGATGTGGGAGAGCTGCTTTCAGTTCTATCCCCACAGGCCAGGCTGAGGGACCCCACCAGTTGCACAAATCCATGCACTAGATCTCTAGTTATCTAAATACAAATCAGAGTAAAACTAAAATATTATCTGTGCTCCATTACATTAAAAATATACCAGTGAAGAGTATGTGGTCATATGGAGAAAGAAAGTCTAATTAAGAGAAAGAATCAGAAAGAATAATTATATTTATTGTATATACAGTATGATGACAACTACTTAATAAGATAATAACTGATATTTATTGAGTGCTTACTGTCTGCTATTCACTGTAAAAAAGAATTTTTACTTATTTATTCCTTGCAAACCTTTGAGAAAGCTATAATTTTGCCCTGATATTAGGGATGAAGAAGACATAGAAATCCGGAGCTCCCTGTTGTCCATTACTGTGGTTTTCAAACTCCAAAAACTGGGGAGCTTAGGCTTCAGGAAGGTGATTCAGAGGCCACCTTGGCATTCAAGGTTCCTATGTACCTGTTTTAAGTAGAGCAATTTGGTTTTTAATCCAATATGGTATCGTATGAGATTCATATGTCCTGTATTCTTGCCTGGAGCAAAGTCTAACTCATGCATCTTCATATGCCTATTGCAGGTGTTCTGCAGTGGTTTTGAATTATTTAATATTTATTTTATTTATAGTGTGTTATTTATGATATTATTTTGTTATTTTTAATTGTAATTATGAGCATAATCATTTATTCCCAGGATTTACTCAAAACTTGTGCATATGTTACTGGCTGGTCTGAGGACTATTATGACAGGTTTACTGGCTGGTCTGAGGACTATTGTTATGACACCCAAAGATATTACGGATAATGGACCTTTGTCTTTAGTTTGCAAGCCTAGGTTCAAGAATGAGCCTGAACCACGATGCATTAGTCTGGAAGACTGAGAGGGATGAATGAGTGTTTGGTACTGAGTTGTATCCATAGACAACTCAGTACCAAACACTTAAATACTGCTGAGATTATGGTGTTCTCCTGGCCCAGATTAGCTTCTGTCCAGACTGGCCTAGCCTGTTTCAGCCTGGGCATGATGAGGGTAGTTGAGTTTCTGAAAGATCTGACCATTGCTCATTTAGAAATTATTGTGGATTTTTCTGCTGTATTGCAAAATATGCATTTGTAAGAAAGCCCCATGTTCCACAAAAGTACACTCTTAAAAATAATAAGGCTGATGAGAAAAATAATTTCGGTGTCATGTCCCTGCCTGAGTTGATTTCTTGGATGTTGTTTAGGTCAGGAGTGGCAAACTTGTTTTTTGTAAAGAGTCAGATGAAGCCGAAACCGGTCTGGCTCAATGGATAGAGTGTTGGTCTGCGGACTGAGAGGTCCCAGGTTTGATTCCGGTCAAGGGCATGTACATTGGTTGTGGGCACATCCTTGGTAGGTGGTGTGCAGGAGGCAGATGGTCGATGATTCTCTCTCATCGATGTTTCTAGCTAACTATCTCTTCCCCTCTGTGAAAAATCAAAGTATATTTTTTAAAAAAAGAAAAAGATGAAGTTAGACTTTGTGGGCCAAGAGGCAAAATTGAGCTATTTTATAGGTGTTTTATAACAAGAGAGAAACCAATTTGCACACATTTTATTAAAAATATAATAACAGTAATTGAGTATACTTTTTTGGTAATATAGCTCTACTAAGAACATAATTTTAGAAGAATGGAATTAATATTTTTGTGGGTGATATAACATTTAGCTGATCTGGAATAAAAAAATTAATTCTTGCTACTATCAAATTGGTTGTAAATGTTTATTTGTAAAGACTTCTTATCTTATGAACCCTACAAACACAGGTAATGGGCTGGATTTAGTGTGTGGACTATCTTAGACTATAGTTTGCTAATCCTTGCTTTGGATAAATAAATAATGTTTGATTAATCCAAGTAGGCATACAGTGGTTGTACATTTTGATCCTGTGAGATACACAAAGTAGGCATTATTATTCCCATTTTATTGATGAGAAATGTCTTGAAGAGATAAGTGCACCCAATATGTGCATGGCTGCTTGCCCGCTTCCTTCCTTTACAAGTGCATATTGAACACCTGCTTTGTGCTAGGCACTGTGTTATGTGTGGGCTGACTGGATCTCCTCAAGATCATAGGTCTAGCAGGGGGTGGAGTCTGGACTTAAATCCCTATCTTTTATAAATAAGTTTTACCTTTTCCACTTTATCAGAAGTGGCCTGGCATAGTGCAAGCTTTTGAGGAGTGGGGAATATCTGCCCTCCCCCAGGTCTCTGCCTCATAGTACGTTTATTTCATGCTCTTGATAGCAGAGAGGGGATTTTATTAACCTTAGTTCTAATTCCCTTCAGCACGTAGTACCATGGACAGTGCTCTGTACATTTCCATAGAAATGAGTAGTGTTCCAGTTGGTTTCTGATGACTACTGTCTGGAAATAATCAGGGGACACCAATTTTAAAGTGAGGAAGCCAAGTGATTCCTCTGTAATCTCACTCATTATGCTCAGAAGTATGACTATATTCTTTTCTGCCAGCTTTTTCCAAGTTTTCTTTTCTTTTTTCTTTTTTTTTTAGAAGCCTCGTTTAATTAACTTTTCAAGTGTAGGAGCCACTCATGCCTAAGTGTCTTTTACCTTTTATTCAAGTGATGATATTTTCCGGTGTCAGCCTGATTTCCTGATAAAGCCTTCACTGCTGAGCCTGCATAAGTGGCTTTTGCGGAGGTCACCACGAGTGTTTCAGGTGACTTTATTTTCACTTTAGAACTTTATCCCTAAGGCCGTTGAGTGGTGGTAAAGGTGGGATCTGATATCTTTTTTCCCCCCCAGAAAGAGCAAAGCCAGACACTCAGAGTATTTATGTCCCTGTGTTTGTAAATTAAAAGCCAGCCCTGGACACAGATCTCTAAGCTGAGGTCACGTGTGTTTCTGTGCCTCTGGGGACTTGGTTGCATTTCTCTTCTCCCTCCTCAGGTGGCCCATTGATCAGGGGCCTTCTGGACAGTAGTGTTGACTTTTGTACGTGATTCGGTCCCCACTGTGCTCTTGGAATGTGAATACATGGGTAGGAGAATGGGGATTACCCCTTCGTACTCAGGTCAACAAATAGAAGCAGTTCTGAACTTCCAGCCCAGCAAAGCCCACTGTCTTTGTAATGCAGCACAAGTTGCTTCACCCCCCTAATCCTAGGTTTAGTTGTCCACATGTGGGGATTTTACCTCATTCTCACTGAGAGGTGTGAAAATAGTTCTTGAAAACTTTCAGTATTGAAGAACAGGGTCAAAATATACATAAGGTATTCTCTTCGTTCTTACAAATTAGAAACAAAATCCTACTCACTCGCTTCTTTTTTATTCTTTATTTTTATGATTACATTTTTGTCTTGCTTTGCTTTTACTTTTTAAATTCATATGCGTACACACTAGATTTTAAACTCAGAAGTTTAGTTTCACAAACACTTTGGGTGTCAGCTGAGGCAGGCAAAAGCTTGTCTGACTCCAGAGTGTGCTCTTGGTGACTACACCATAGCTGTTCAGTGATGGTAGAGGTGGGATGTAATGTCTCTGCCATATCCATGGGCTCTGCATCCAGCCACTTGTGTGGGGCAAGATGTGTGAGGAGATGTGTGGTGTCCATTAAGGATGGGGCAGAGCCCACAGCAGCAAGGAGCTCAGTCACAGTGGGAGAACTTACAATTGACCAGAGAAGTGAGGGGCCATGATGTTGTTACTTGCAAAGGCCCTTGGCTGGCTACAGAGTGACCTCTTGTTCAGAGCCCCAGACTCCAGGTGCCTAAATGCTGTTGAGGGTGTGTTTGGCTGGCATTTCTGGCATTTTTACTATAATGACATATCCTTTTTTAAAAATTTTTAATGGATTATGGATTTGTTGTGCTTCTTGTTTTGAAAATATCTCTATATTAAGAAAGATATTAAAATGTATGTTAATTTTTTTATTATGGTAAAATATACATGACATAAAATTCACCATCTTAATCATTCCTAAGTCTACAGTCCAGTGTGGTGTTGTGCAGCCATCACCACCATCCATCTCTACAACTTTGTCATTATCCTAACCAGAACTCTGGACCCATCCTATACAATAAAAGCCCAATATGCAAATGGACCAAATGGTGGAACGACCAGTTGGCAGGGGTTGGGGCGAGGAGCGGGCAGTACCAAGGCAGGTGCCAGTGGGCAAAGGGAGGGGACAGTGATTGGGGAAGGGGCAGTGGCAATGAGCGGTGGCAGAGGAGTGATGGGGGGGCAGGTTGCTCACTGGGGAGCAGGCCTAAGCCATTAGTTGGACATCCCCCCAGGGCTCCTGGTCTGTAAGAGGGCATAGGATGGGCTGAAGGAACACCCCCCCCCCCCACCCCCTGAGTGTATGAATTTTCATGCACTGGGCCTCTAGTCAAATAAATTCCCATTCCTTTCTCTTCCAAGCTCCTGGCAACCATCATTCTATGGTGTTTTTTTTTAATTGTCACTCAAGGATGTGTCTTTTTATTGATTTTAGAGAGAGAGGATGAGAGAGA